TGTAAGATAATAAGGCTAAAACCTTGGATTCAGAACGTTTCACTGCTTTTATAGTTAAAAAACTAAACTTCATGAAAAATAGATTCGAAAGTTTACTTTCTTCAGGTTTATCATTTTTTTCGCATAGAAATCTTCCTAGAAGACTTAATTGCAAAATTTCGAAAAATATGTTAGAAGATGCGGAATTTTCCGGTGACTTTTCTGATATTTTCAAAATTCTTATGGAATGAATTTTTTGGATCAAGACAAATATTTTTCTGTTTTCAATGTGTCGCAGTTCCACCACTCAGCACCATTCAATATTTTGAATGGTGCTAAGTGGTGAAACTTCTGGAACTGCTGGTCGTACTAGTGGTGCTAGTCGTTCGACTTATAGTAGTGGTAGACGTTGTTGTTGATGCTGCACAAATATGACGGCACATGCTACACAAATATTTTTTTGAAAGTCGCCGTATAATAATATTCGGGATGTATCTTTACTAATGTAGTGACACTTCTAGTCTATAGTTAATCGACAGTCTAACGATGAATTGGAGATAGTAACATGCATAAAGATCTGCATTAGATGGACATGTTCATGGACAGGCGTAAAAACGTTGAAATTTGTGAATACTTCACAATCGCAATATTACCTATTACCCATTGCTACTGCGGCTGATGAATATCAGCAACGATTAGTGCAATGATTACTTATTTACTCAAAATTACTTATTATTACTTTCTTCAATAAATGTCACATTAAAATAGTTTCCTATACATCGTTCTATTTATATAAAAACTGTCTACCGGAATCATAACTCAAATGATGAAACATACGAAATTTGATTATTATTTACAAATATACAATTATAAGTTAAATTATTCCGAAGGAGGCAACGCATTGAAATATTTTAATAATTTTATTATGAGGTTGAACAATCACTCAAAAATGTATTTATCAATTTAGTTTTTAATAATGTAAATGAAGACATATAAATAATATAATGAAATACAATAAAATACAATAGAATGATGGTTACCTTTATTAAAGCAAAAATATAAAGATAAGAAATAACCATGTTCTTTCTTGTTGTTATTCTGTCGAAAAAACGTATTTGGTTTCTTTTGTGAACATTATCTGGATTGTCCAGAGAAAATGCACGAATCTGTGAGTATTAACTCAAGTAAATCGCAAAAGTAGCGTATCCGATGTGCATGTTTTTTTCGTAGGTCGTGTTATGCACTTTGACGTTTGCTTTCATCATCAAGAATCTTTATGTTAGATCAGGACCGGTAGGAACAATGCCATGTTGTGATTCTCAATATCCCTGCTTGAACGGTGGTACGTGTGTGAACGATTCATCAGGACACTATACATGTACATGTCCCAATAATTGCGGTGGCATGGAATGTGAAGCGGATGCTTGTGGTAAGTGAGGTATGATAATATAAGAAGGAAGATATTGATCATCACAAAACTTTCGTTTCGCAGGATGTGAATCATGGAATCAGTCAACCGCAGCTGCTTGTCCACTTCAGGGTAATGGAAATACGATCTTCAAATTTAAGCTTTTGAACAGAAAAGATTATGTTTCCTTTCGCTCTATTTCTAGTTTACTGTGACACATCTGCCAGTGCTATGTGCGATTCTTCTGCGTCCGTCCAATGTGCCGTGACAACGACCACATTTACTAGTCTGTTCCTAGTCTTCACCTACGGCTTCGAAACTTTTCTCCCTTTCTTTTGTGCAGCATCAACAACAACATCTACCACTACTACAACTGGGACGACTAGCACCACTAGTACGACCAGCACTACGAGTACGACAAGCACTACGAGCACTACTAGCACTACGAGCACAACGCGCACAACCGCGACGCCGGCAACGACGGCCACTACAACAAGCGGTGTGTAAAACTTTTGGAATTGTTTTCTCTTTTTGTGACTTTTAGAGGCTCCTAGTCAGTGTGACACAAGAAAAGAGTCGAGTGAGGAATCATGGAGAGTGGGGGTGAGGTGAGGTGATATTTGATGCAGACCTGTCAGTTCGTTGTCGCTTTCCATCTGAAATATTCCCGATCGAGAAATATGCTATCTTCGCAACTATGTCTGAATTCGTAGGCTACTTTCTAGACAGACGTCTGAGGAATAGTGGATGCTGTATTTAGGTCTACAATTAATAAAATATATGCGGAAATTTAGAGATGTTTTATGACGTTTTTTTCTTTTCCGAAAAGGAAATATTTTCCGATGAGAAAAGACCATATCTTTGCCGTTCGAGAAAATACATCAACGCATCAATTGACTTAGTGACGTGTAGTCATATTTTTAGATGATATTAAATTCTTAGCGTGTTTTAAGTACCACACAAGTTTTCATCGAAAATAATTCCAACGTCCTACATGTAGATGGCTTTGTCAGATTGCATTCTAGAAACCATTGGCGGGTCGTCAGTAGGGCAACCGGGAATCTCCCAGGCGAAAAAAATCGTTAGAGAACGCGCTCAACAAAAACCCCAGGAAACGGTTACTTTAACGATCATTGGCAAACGCGTTATTCTAAAGTTTTGAATGGTCAAAAACGCGTGTAAACGGCTCTTTTAACGATCGTTCGCTAGTTGCGAAAAATGCCTTTTCAAACGAATAGATAAAAGAAAACGCGTTCTTATGACAAAAAAAGCGTTTAACGCGTTTTGTAGTCGTTAAAAACGGAACAAAAACGCGGTTTTTTGTCAACCTTTTTACCTCTGGGCACTCACCGTCTTGTTTGGCAGTCACTCGAGTATATAAGCAC